TAACATACATACATACATACATACATGCATACATAAAAGTTGGTAGGGTTTTCTCTTGTTCTATTTTTCAATAAGTAAAAAAGACACACATGTAGTTCATGCCAACACCCTTCACTCTCTTCTTTGGTATCCATCAAGGAAGTGTATAATCTGCCAAACAAAATCAATATATAATTAGTATAAAGTATTAGTTTTAACTTAGTTTTTAAATAAAATATTATGATTAATCTCCAAAAAAAAAAATTAATGTTTTAAGCGTAACCTCCACATTTGTAACCAATCGGACGATCGGGAATATTGCAACGCTTCGGGATGGTAATGGCGATTTCAGGTTTAATTCCAGAAGCCTTTGCAGTTTTAGAGAGCATAACAGCACACAAGCAGCTTGGATTTTGCCCTATTCTCTTCACTTGACTGCAGCAACTAGCAGAAACAGGAGCATTCTGATCCGAAGCGGCATAAACACACGGGGCTAATTTGAAAGCTTCGTTGTCCGGTGTTGATCTTCCACATTCCCCGGCTCCATCGACGATTATCATCGATCCAGAGATTGCGATGATGATCGCCGTGATCATCATAGCACCTAAGAGCTTCACTGAAGTTGCCATGTTGAGAACAAGTTATTTTGATGGGTGTAAAACTGGTGATCTTCTAACTTGGGTTTTATACTGTAAATTGGGATCCATTAATCCTAATGGAGCTGCCACTAATTCATCAAGGCATAATTTATTAATGGGTATATGGAGCTCCCACTAATTGATAAAGACAAATTCTTGTTCATATGGAGTTTCCACTAATTAGTGAAGACATAATTTTAGTGTACCATCAATTTCTTTTTCACTCTTTTGAGGGAAAAAAAAAGATTTAACAATAATTTTTAAATATTTATTTTTTATTAATTTAAATTATTTATTATTTAAAAAGTTAATAAATAATAAATTTTATTTACAAAAATTTATAAAAATTGTATATATAATTTAAAATAAGAATTTTGCTAAATATTATAATTTTATATATGATAGAAAAAAATAATATAATATTATTCTTTAATTTAATTCAATTTATCTTTTTTTTTTTTTTTTCTCTTTAATATTATGATTTTCTTCTTATTCGATAATCTAACAAAGGAAATATTGAATTTAAAACTCTAAATAAATTAAAATTATGCAAGACATTAAAAAAATCTCTTAAATTTTAGTTTAATTATACATAAATAACTGATATTAAGCAATGTAAAACTCAAGTTCTACCATATTTTATCAGAAAAATTTATGCTTTTTTTTTTTTTCTTCTTCTAATTTGAGACATTTAAGAAGTACAAGGCATACAAAAAATAAAAAACCATACATAATTTATCATAAACTATCATAATTACAATTTATAACTAATGAACTAAAGCATTCAATATTCATATATATATATATATATATGGAGCAGATGGTAGTCTAAACATAAAAACTTATATGTATATGTATATATTGGAGAAACCTCTTGTGGGTCAAACACAAAAGTTCCACTAGTATTTTTAAATTGAAAAAGAAAGAAGGAAAGAAAAAGATACACAAATTCACCATTTAAACTGAAAAGAAATTATGTGAAAAGGTCGAAAGGCAGGCAATAACTTCAAAATCTCTGTGGAATCACAAGTAGTATTTTCTCCCCACACAATCTTGACATGTCGTAGATGGTGCACCCAACATCTTGGTCCAGTTGATTTGCAACAGGATTCTTGCCTCATGCTCCCCAGTTTCCTGCATAAAACCTGCATAAACAGGATGCTTGCTTTATACATCAAAGTATACAGTAATGAAAATAATTTTGAATCAGATATACTGTAAAAACATTACAATACATTGTTTTTGAAAGTGTAATAATATGGGTACCTCTAAAAATTGAATATTGGGTTTGCAATCCAATTTGAGGGAGAGAATTTCTGGCTGAATGGACCAGAGCAAGCCATCCACCAGAGCTTGGTAATCAATGGAGAATTCAACAGTCCTCCCTTCCAACTTCATTGTTGGGTCTATTGTTAACCTTACACCACATATTGGAGTACTTGTCATATCTTTTTGTTGAAATTTAACCTGCAAAAACATATTAACCCGAACACATTTACTACTATTACAACCACATCTCAGTTAAAGAAGACATGTTGAAAAAAAAAGAAGAAGCATATACATACCATGTTGGGATTGATATGCAAGTTGATAAATTGAGCTTGGGAATAGTTAGCAAGAAGCTCCTTCAATTGAAAGAATTTCCTAGTGTTGAGATGGTTAAAATATAATTTGAAGTTTGCAATTTGAATATGTGATGTCTCCATAGAATACAAAAATGAATTTATATCTCCTGCATAAGAAAATAACTCTAGATTGGGAGCATTGACAATGGGATATTCACCGAGGTTTCCATTTGACGATGATATTTCGACACATCGAAGGTGATGACCAGATATTCTAATCCTCCCATAAAGTGGACAATCGTGCAACACTAATGACTGCAGAAGTTGAAAATTATGCAGCAATGGTTGTAACCATTCCTTTGCAATCATTCTGTGACGTTTCAATTCGAAGACCTTCAAATTTTTACAACCAGACATGTTGATGTCGCATGGATCTCTGTTTGGATATCCAATGAACGTGAATTCTTCTAAACACTCCAACTCAATATCGATCATCTCCAGATAGTATGGTATAATTTTAACCTTTTTGAGATTTGTAAAACCACGTAGTTTGAGAGTAAGTAAACAGTAACAAGAATTCAAACAAAGTTGTTCAAGAGAAGGGCAGGCATGAATGAGATCATGAAGGAGCTTTTGGCTAGACTCCAAAAAGGAAAGTGAGAGTTGTTTTAGGGGAAGTAGTGGGATGGAATCAAATTCACCAAGATTACATCGTGTTAACTCTAGAACTTGGAGTGAGCGAGAAGTGTAAACAATGGATGGTAAAGCATAGTAATTTTGGTGACTCAGAATGTGAAGATGGAGACTTTTGACATGATGGGTTATGGCCAAAGGAACCCATTCATCAATATAAAAGGCATGGTCCAGGTGATATCTACGTATACTTAACTTAAATCTGTCTAACCCCATTGATCTTTTTTCGTTGCAGAGTGCTCGGAGGCGTTCGCCAACAAAATAAACAAAGAGATGTCTGTTGATAGAGTGTCTCATCATCATCACATCACATCACTATATCATCACTATCGTAGTTAACTTGGACCGAGGAATCATCAAAATCAGACATCAAAAAGGAAAGCCAAGCAGCGTACCAAGACTTGGAGAGGACACTTGTTTTGGCTGCTTGCTTTGAAGCAAGTTGAGACATAATGCGGTGAAGTATGTGCTGGGGTAAATCTGAGCAAAAATCAATCTTTCTTTGAGTTCTCTCCATTCTGCTTTCTTTTACTTTCTTTTCAATAATCCAGGCTTTCTACTAGTGTGTGTGTGTATATATATCTATATAGACACACAGAGACATGTATATTCCGATTCCTACTAGACATATGATCACCCAAAAACTGTTAGCAAAGCAGAATAATCAAAGAAAGAAACAAAAATATGAGACTAAACAGGAAAATTCTCAGCCATGGTTGACTGTCAAAATAGGAATGAAGAACGTGTTAATTAGGAATACAGAGATTAGCAACATTGTGAGAGAGTATATATTTTTTATATATACATAAAGAACTTGAATATATTCCTATTCTTACTTGACTTTCCTATTCCGGATCCAATTCCGGATCCCTTTTTTTTTTTTTTTTTTTTTTTTTACTTTTTAAATTACAAATCCAAAATTTTCTATTCATTAAACAATTAAAACGGAGGACCTAACGTCGTTTTGGACGGTTTTCGTTAAAAACGCAAAAAACCAAAACGACGTCGTCTGGTTCAGGGATAAGCCTGCGCAAATTACAATCTATCCAAACTTGCAAATCAACAAACCAAACCCACCATGGATCCGCACCAAAACGATGCCGCTTTTCTTCTACTCGCCCCTGTACCAAACCCATCGGACATGGAATTCCGGCAACCTGCTCGCGATCCACGCGTGCAGGCTAATCATCCGAAGCCTAAACTTAGGTATTTGATTGTAGATAAATCGTTTCTGTTTAGTACTTCACCATCCTTAGAATTCATGAAAAACAGGTGGTTTGTATCTGTTCGGTGTTGACCTTCATTTTCTAGGTTTTGGCTTAGAATTGGTAGCATGTTCCGATCAATCACCACTATGGACTTATTGGTTATTGCTGCTACTTCGAAATTATTTCACTTAGTTTTTTAGGTTTATCACGACTTGGAGAGGCTGAGTAGTTGATAATGCAGTTTATTGTTCAAGTATTTCAGTGAAATTAAGGATTACTGTTTTATAATTTCGATGATAATTTCAAATTTCCATCTAACACCTGAATTTCTGGCCGAATCGAGTTGGTGAGCGTGTTCGTAGTATTTTTGTGCAATTATCTAACCATTTTACTAGTCTTAATTATATCTTGTTTGTTCCATTATGTACTTGAAGCTAGAGTTGTGTGTTCATGTTCATTTTTTAAGGGGAAAAATAGTACGGGGTGGGCGGGCTTGAATGGTAATTAAGTGTCAGTGTCATTTACATGTAGGCACGATTGAGTTGATGCAATAAATGATGATTTATAATTCCAAGTACATTGGGGTTTCTAGCCAACAAATGGAGGAGGAACTTAAGGATTCTAATGCAGCAAGAAAGATGCAGAAGGCTGACCGCGAGAAGTTGAGAAGGGACCGGCTTAATGAACATTTTCTTAAGTTAGGAAAAACAATTGGTAATCCATTCGAATCATCCAACTATTTGTCTTGCTTTTACGTTTGTCTTTCCTTTAAACTTGTTCTAGATTTCTTTCCCATTTTTTTTAGGCAGTCCTCTGTCTTTATTCTGGTTCTGTGGAATTCACCTGAAGAAACTTTTGAGGAATTGTATCATGTAGGGCACACAGTCATTAATGCTAATTGAGGCATTGATAATTTCCATCATAATCTATTGGCAATTTGCTTCTCTTTAAACCTTCTATGTATATCAATAGAAGCAAAGAGTTCTTTAGAACTGTTTCTTGTTAGAGAAATGTTTCGCCTTTTGTTGCAATTTGCATTTTTGTTCTCCTTTAAGCAGTTTAATTATTAAACTTTCTCATTTTGCTACCTTTTCCGCTATTTAATCCATCAATCAACCTCTTGGTAGCATTCTTTCTGCTTTTTCTACAGTTATGTTTTTAGTTTCATTAAACTTTTTGAAATATTAATGCCTTACTCATCAGAAGAGGAGAACCAAAACCCCAGTTTTCTTTTGCTGTCTTCTAAATGCAGATCCCGATAGGCCCAAAAATGATAAGGGCACCATTCTAGCTGATACAATTCAGTTACTGAAGGACCTAACATCTGAAGTCAACAAACTTAAGGCTGAGTATGCTATGCTGACTGAAGAATCTTGTGAGGTGATATAATGATATCTTTACATTGATTAGTGATGCATATACTTGTGGTATTCCTTTAACAGACCATGTAATAATCAAATTTACTCCAAAATAGTTAACACAGGAGAAAAATGATTTACGAGAAGAGAAGGCCTCTCTTAAATCTGATATTGAGAACCTTAATATTCAGTATCAGCAGAGGTCCAGAGCAATATTTCCTTGGGCTGCTATGGATCACTCAGTTGTCATGGCCCCACCTTCATACCCGTTTCCAATGCCAGTACCGATGCCTCCTGGGCCAATTCCTATGCATCCATCAATGCAATTGCAGCCTTACCCATTCTTTGGAAACCAGAATCCTGGTGTTATTTCTGCCCCAGTTTCAACTTATATACCATTTATGACTCCCAATACCATGGTTGAGCAGCAGTCTACGCATGTACCTCCAACCATGCAGCCTGGCAATCGGTCCCAGGTTTCAGGCAAACAGGATTCCAGAAGCAAGTCATCAAGGGAGAGCAAGGCTGACAAAACTGAGGATTCTAATGATGTTGCAACTGACCTAGAGTTGAAGACTCCTGGATCTACAGTAGATCAGGTCAGTTAAAACTTTTTATATTGGTTTGCAGGCAACATAAGTCTTGGAAGAAATAGTCAGATAAGGACCTACTTGAATCATTTTACAGGATTTATCATCAGGGCAAAGAAAATCCAAGAAGCCTTGGAAGGATGAAAACAGTTCTAAGGAAGGTAGTTCATCAAGTAGGTGTTCTTCATCTCCCAGTGGACAGGATAGTTCATCTAATAGCATAGTTGGTGGCAGAAGTTCAGACGTTTTAGAAGGGAAAAAGGATCAACAAAGATAAAGGAGCCAGGTTGTAACCAACTTCTGTACATTCATCAAACAGTTCTGTCATAAAAATTACTATTCTTCCCACGAGCAATTTGCTTAATTTTAGTCTTGGTAAGTCTAGTTCTTGCTTTGATATTTTGATTATTCACCTCTGAACAGAAACACCTTTAACATGCTAAATATTCAATATTCATTCTGTTGTTAGCAAAGGAGAAGTTGTCTTTTCTTGGGCATCTTTCTTCATTGAGGCTGTCAGGATTAGTTTTCCTGACCTGTTTTCTGGAAGAATATGATGGGTGGTTTAAACTAATCTCAGTGAGGACTTAATGAGTGATGAGTATAACTTATAAGGATGAAAGTTTGCCTTTTTAATGCAAATGTCGCAATAGGAAGTATTTGGAAGTTGACTGGATAAAGTTTTTGTGCATGAAATGCAAAAATCTTAACTTCAACCTCATTTGTTTGTTATGGAAAAAAACCTACATGCTGTTGGGGTTTATGTTGTGATTTATCACTACTATGTGGCAAATTCAATGCCCTATCTAGTGATTTTATTCTGGTTGCCCTTTTATCTGATGGTATGCTTATTATTTGTGTCCATTTTTAAATATGATTGTGATGAATAGACAAAAGATGTTATGTTGATATTGTTATAAGCATTTTCTATAGGGTGGAATACAAGGTATGGCATATGCATTTGTTCCTAGATTGTCAATACGTGGATCTGTCTGTAGTCGTCACTCATAATCTATTGCATTCATTACATACTATTTTAAGCCTGAGATGGTCAGTTGTACAGTTCTCATGTCTTGAAAAGGGAGCAGATACGGACTCTGTGAGTTCAGGAGCTAACTGGATTACCAGTTGGTTCTTCTTTCATGTCAGATAACCCAGGTGGCAAACAACTGAACTGTATTTGCTTTTTACTTATTAATTTCACTCATTATGAGATTTAAATCAGGATAATGACTATAGATCAGATAGAATTAAAAGATTAGTTAGTTCTGAACTCTTCTGGTAGTATTTGGGGGAGGAAACATGCAGCAGTGGAGATGTGAGTGTAAATATTGGTGTCTATGTGTAGGAGGTAAGCAAGGGAATAAGTGGTTGGAATTGTTATAACAATATAGAAGAAATTTGGAAATGGGGTGAGTCATGATTCATGAATTGTGATAATTATTGGCACAGATCTTAAATAGACTATCCACTAAGGAGTGTTTGGATTGGAGGGAATATAGGAGAATAGGGGGAATGCCTCTTTTGTTTGGGAGTTCATATTGGAGATGAGAAAATGCAGGGTGCATTTCATCTCTTCATTCATCTCCACTACATAGGATTTCTATTTCTGCCAATTTGGGATCTGAGTGAAGGAAAGATTAAACTAAAAGTATGTAGTTATTACTTCTCCTTTGCCTCCAGCTCTCCAAAGTAAACTCTAAATCTCTCTCAAATTATTCTTTTAGAGTAAAATGGGTTTAAAAAGACTGATGTCGCATTCGCGTTGTGTCGATACAGACATTTTATCAGCAATGTCACCTAACAGGTCAACGAGCCCAAATAGTGTTCGAGAAAATTAGTAGAGATGGAGAATTTTGTTCCAAATTCCGATGAAACTTTGAATACAAAAGTATTTTAGAGAGAAAATTTTAGTACTTTCACCTAAATTACGCGTTTCTTCTATGATTTCAAACTACATAAAAAGACTAACATGTGCACTAATTATGTTTAGTCATCTATATTATAAAAATCGGATCAAAGATTAGACTTTGGTTCGACTTTAAAAAAATTCAACTTTTTGGTTGGGTTGTCGCTCCAAGTCGAAAAGAACCATTTTGTTTTTTCAAAAATAAGATATAAAAATGAAACTCTTTGTTATAAATATAACAAAACCATATGATTGTTGTAAGTATAATAACTATGTGTTGTATTCTTGATTTTTATTTCAGCAAGAAATAACTACACAAAATTGTTACAATGTATATCATAATAGTATTAGTCTATACATATTATTTTTATGAATAAGTAGTAAGTTATATTTAAAATAATATGTTTTATTATTCCGATCTTATCACAATTACGTTAATATGATAGAATTTATAAGATATTTTTATTTAAAAACAAGTAATAATGAAAATTTAAGCTTACCATTATCATAAAATATTTCATAAATATACATTTCAAACGTACAATTAACATTTAACACAATTGACTTGTCTCAGATAATACTACTACTAAAAAAAAGAATATATTAGACAAAAATGTTTTTGACATTTGATTAAATCACATGAGGGAGTTTACACAGAGAATGAACAAGATTAATTTCGTATTAACATAAGGCTATATAAGTAAATTACATATATTTTTGAGATTTTTATATCTAAAGCTTTCATTATCTATCCATGGCATTCAAAATTTCTCTAACCCATTTTCAGTAATCACCCTATTTTCTTTTACTGTTCTTCATCTCTCTGCTTAGGAAGCAGAGAAGAGTAAATAAACAGCAATGTCGGGAGTAAGCCAAAATAGAAAGCCACCCACGTGAAACCCTAAAAAAGAAAGGTAGAAGAAGAAGAAGAAGAAGAAGACTGTCAGGTTAGAAGAGAAATAAAGCCCAGACAGCCATGAAAATTGAGATTCTTTTTTCTTGAATCTGAATATGAAAATGGCAAAAATCAATTTGCAGGGGCAGGAGATTAATCAAATCTCTTCATGGGGGTTGAAAAGAGAAAGAAATAACATCAGGAAAACTAGGTCAATGAATCAAACCATATTCTAATCGGATATATATTATATATATTGTGTATACGCCCTGGTTTTCAATATGCACAAAACCCAGTTCCTTAAACAACATAAAAATCACAAAAAAAAAAGATCTCACTCCCAAAAAAAAGGAAACTTAGAAGAAGATTTCCAGCAATGGGGTTAAAATTAGTTTATCTCTATATATAATTATCAGACAAACCAGCTATCCAGAAAAACAGACTGATACTGCACCAGAATTAGCAGCAAGACAATAAAACCCGCCACAGCCCAAGGCGAGCTCCCTTCCTCCGGCCGGTGATGGGTTTGCCGGCGACGATCCCAAGGTGATCTGTTAAAGAACATGACCGGATTCTCCATAGACGACAGCCAACGAACTATGAGTATTATCACCACTGGTGTGGCAAAAAGAAGCCAGTTGGCTTGTTCTTCGGCAGCTTCCACAGCTTCTTCATAGTTAAAGTACCATGATGTGCAGAGAAAGATTGACGTCACTGCAAGGATTAACAGAACTGGATATGGCAGAGGACTCAGACTGAATGAATCGAAGATCGACTCGTTTCTTCTTCTGCCATAATATGCCATCGACACACCTTTAATCTACTCTGCTCTGTAAAACTTGCGGAGATGGAATGGGAGACCCTCGTCAATTTTATAAGGGGATCAAGTTTACGAAAATACCCTCTTAAGTTAGATGTAATTACAAAAATATTCTTCTCTTTTATTTTATTATGAAATTACCATTTTAACTAAAATTTTAGAAAATAATTAAATTAGTCTCCCAATTTTAATATTTATTATTATTTAGTCTTTAATATTTCTTTTGTTATAATTTTAGTCCCTAATTTTTTTAAATTTTTTTTAAAACATTTAGTTTCTTTCTATTTTATAATAGAAAAAAAGTTAAAATAATTAAATTACATTCATATTTTTTAAAAAATAATTTTAGTTAGTTAATTAAATTATTATTATTATTATTAAATTAAAATTTTAAAATATAATCTAACTATTTTAATTTTTTATTAAAAAATTAAAAAAAATTAAATACTTAAAATAAATAAAAAATATTAAAAATTAAATTATAACGAAAAAATATTAGAAGTCAACTTGTAATGAATATAAAACTTCAAAAACTAGTTTATTAATTTTAACCTAAACTTCTTTAATAATTTCATAATCATGTCAGATAATTTTTTTGCTGAATTTATATTTAGTTAAATTTTATAATATTAATATAAAAAATATTTTTATGATAAAATAAAATAAAATAAAATAAAATGGTACTTTTTACAATTATATGTGAGTTAGAGAAGGTATTTTTGTAAATTAGTCTTTATAACAGGGTGATGGTGTATGGTTTTGTTATATTATTTTACTTTTACAATATGAGATTTAATGAAATGTTATTATAATATAGTTTTTTCAAAGAGTGTATCTCTGTAAATATAGAAGGTTAAGGGTGTATGATTTTGTAGGTTTGTTGGAGACAAAGAATTTATTAGTTTTAGGGTTTTTATTTTGGTAGGTCATTTTCAAAATTTTAAATTCTTTTTTGTCATCCAACCCATTAAATAAAAAACAAAAACTTGAATTGTTGAGAGTTTCTTTTTCATTATTGGTTAGTAATTTGAATTATAGATTTTTTTTTTTTTTTTTTTTTTTTTAAAGAAAAATTTTAAACCCATTTCTCGATTTATATATATTATATTTACCCGAAAATCATATTAATTTTTTCTGTATTGTTCTATTTTTATAACGTGAATTTAAGAGCATTTAAGTACAAGAAACGAAATCTATTAATTATTGACATTTCTCTTGATAATGATTTCTATTGTTTGGGGAGGTAAAGAATCAATTTCAATCTTTGTCACCAACATTATTAACATCAACTAATAAGCTAACCCAAAAACAAACACAATGTCCAAATGGTTAGTTTAAATAGAAAGTAAAATTTTGAATCTTCAAATTTATTCAATTTAAGTTTTATATGTATATATATATATATATATTGTCATTCCTCCATTATCAAGTGAGGATATAAGTAAAGTTTATTTATATATAAATCATTACAATCTTGAATATATTGTGTTGAGTGCATTCTTGGTCAATGTACTCATTATTTTAAACAAAATTATTGCAAATGTTGTCTTTAAAAGCTTTAATGACAATCATTACTAGTCTAATTAATAATGTTAATCTAAGAAAAGAAACCACTACAAAAATTTGGGTATATATATATATATATATATTTAAGCCTGTCCCATGTTATTAGACACAACAAAGTTCAACTATTCCCCCGCATATGTACATATATATATATATATATATATATATACATATATGATCAATAATTGAGCAAATGTGGGGCCAATTGGAATGCATTTAAATCATATTGAAAACTAATGGTTGAAAGGGTTTTTGGTTGGTGATTGATGACAATTTCTTTTTATTTAATTTAAAACCCAACTCTCATAACACATAACCTTTGGACAAGGAGGTGTATTTTGGTAATTAGGCACCCATGATGTTTCGTTGAGTATTTTATTTTAATTAATACTTCAAATTTTTAGTTAAATTTGTAATTATTTACTTCAAACTTTTTTAAAATTTCCCACCCTTATCATTTTATTAGTACATTTATATGGATTTGTAACACCCACTAATTTTATAATTTTTATTATTATTATTATTTTGATTTTTTAATTTATTTTATTTAGTTTATTTTATAATTTTTTAAATTTTAATTGATTTATTTAATTTAATTTAATTAAATTAAATAAAAATAAAATAATAATAATGATAAAATTAGGTAAAAATATTATTTGAATTTAATTGAAATTGATTTTAGGAAAAAGATGTGAAAATTAGGATTCTGTGGGTATTTTTGAAAAGAAAATCGAAAACCGGGGGTCAAATCACAATTTAGAAAAATTGTGCCCCGTCAGCGCCACGTCAGCAGTCACGTTAGC